CATTAGAGCAGGAAATAAAATAAAACTCAGAAAGATACAGAGGATATAAGAATACTTCCTAAAACATTTTGTAAGGCTAACATTATCAAAATATCAAAGCCAGACAAAGACAACACCAAAAAACTACAGACCAATTTTCCTAATGAACAGATACAAAAAAGCTCAACAAAATCTTAACAAATCGAATTCAACAATGCAATAAAAAATCATACACCATGACCAAGTGAGATATAAGAATACTTCAGAATCAGAAAATCAATTTGTGTGATATACATCTATAAAAGGAAAGGTATAAAAACATATCAATTGATATTAGAAAATAATTTGTAAGATTCAATATATATTTATGATGAGAACTCTCAAAAAACTGAAGATATGACGATAATAATAAAGAACAGGGGTCTCCCTGCTGATACAAGGGGTTAATCTCAACACTATGAAGCTATCAACAGTCACTACAGCCTGAGGTGGATCCCCAGTGGAAGCTGACCTACATGGGAGCAGCTGACCTCTCCTGCCCACTGCTCCCCTCAGAAGTATATTTCAGTCAACCCAACTATTCTGCTCCCAACTCTGTCTCTGGTGAATTCTCTCACCACCCCCACCTCTGGCCTACACCCCAGCTCTTGTATGCATAAATACAATCAATAATAATAATAGTAATAATAATAATAATAAAGGCAATATATGACAAATCCACAGCTAATATCAATCCCCATGATAAAAGTCTGAAAATTTTCCCATTAAGATCTGGAATAAGATAAAGACGTTCACTTTCACCACTACCATTCAACATAGTACTGGAAGTCCCAGTCAAAGTAATTATGCAAGAGAACACTATAAAAGGAACCTAAACTTGGAAAGCAATAAAGCTATCATTTGCAGACAACAAAATAATGTGCATAAAGAACCCTGAAGAGTCGTCCACTACAAAGTTGATTGAAACAATAAAATAGTTTGGCAAACTTGCAGGGTACAAAAGCAATATACAAACATCAGTTGCCTTCATATATGCAAACAATGATCTAAAAGAAACTGTCTTTTAAATCACATTTGCAATGGTATTAAAACATATTAAGTAAATTACCAAAGAAGATGAAGAACATACTGTAGGAAGAAAACTGTAAGAGATTGTTAAAAGAAATAGAGCGATACAAAGAAATTGAAAACTAATACCAGCTAACAGATTGGAAGAATTAAAGTTGTCAAAATGGCCATCTTATCCAATGAAATATATAAATCCAATACAATTCCTATTAAAGTCTCATTGACATTCTTGAAGAATACTGGCATATTCTTCAATATATAACAATATTACTGAAATGCATATGGAACCACAAAAGAGCCAGAGCAGCTAAAGCAATCCTGACAGAAAGAGGAAAGGTGATCATACTCCCAGACTTCAAACTTTAAAATAATCAAAACAGTAAGGTACTGGAAAAAATGGACACATACACAAATGAAACAATTTATTGCCCAGAAATAAAACCACACCTAAATAAATAGTTAACCTACAATGAAGAAATTATGAATATACAATGAATCAAGGAAAGTCTCTTCAATATATGGTAAATCTGTACAGTGCATGCAAAAGAATGAAACCAGACCACTCTCTCACACCATACACAAAAATCAACTCAAAATTGACAGAAGACCTGAAACCATAAAATACATAGAAGAAAACATAGGCAAAACATTCCACAGCATCAGTTTCAGAGATGCCTATGTATTCAACTCCAACGTCAAGGAAAACAAAAGAAAATATAAACAATTGAGACATCAAATTCAAAAGGTGGTACAAAGTAAAACAGTCACTAAAACAGACCCCAAATGAATGAGAAAATATGTGCACACCATACATCTGAGAAGAAGCTGAGATCCAAGATCTAAAAGGAACTCTTTAAACTCAACAAAAAGAAAACATCCAACACAATGAAAAAATAGGTGGAACAGCTAGAGACACTCAGCAAAAGAAAAAAAAAAAAAGACATGGCCAAGAAATGTTCATCAACTATTGTCAGAGAAATGCAAATCAAACCATAGTGAGACACAGCTCACACCTGTTAAGAATAACCCATCTCAAAATGACCAACAACAAGCTATGGCAAGGATGTTAAGTAAAAGGAACCGGCCTACACTGCTGATGAGAATGTAGACTGGTTGAGTTCCTATGGAAAACAGTATGGAGGTGTCACAGGATTAAAAAAAAAAGAGATCTACCGTGATCCAGTAATTCTACTCTTAGGTATCTACCTAAAGAATACAAATACACTAATTTAAATGGACATGTGCACTCCCATGTTCATCACAGCACTATTTACAATAGCCAAGCAATGGAAACAACCTAAATGCAAAAATACAATCAAGAAGATATGGAATATATACACAATGGAATACTACTCAGTAATCAAAAAAGTTAAAACTCAAGCCATTTGGTACACATGAATGGAAACTGGAGGGGATTAAGCTAAAAGAAGTCAGAAGGGAAAAGACAAATATTGGATGGTGTCACTTACAGTGGAATCTAGAAAAATAAGTATCAAAGACAATCTAACAAAAAATCCTAACAACCTGACTACAGAAATGAGGCTAACAAAAAAAAAGGGAAAGGGAAAGGGCAAGAAGAAAGTGGAGAAGGCAAACAATGCACTGTGGTTGATTTGTTGGTGAGTGTGGTTTACTAACTGAATGGGGAAATCCCTTAACTTTAAAATGCAGAAAACAATGTAAGATAACACTGCCCCCATTAAAAAAAAAATCAAACACTGCTGAGGGAAGCATCAGGAGAGACAGGAGAGGTTGCCATGCCATGTGGGTCTCCTCCTAGGCCAGGTATGGAACTCATGTTGCAGTGGCTGGTGACAGCTTCATAGTGCTGCGACCTAACCCCTTGAGCTACCAAGAAGACCCCTAAAAATAGTATTTTTACATAATAGCTTAAAATAGTCTACCTACATTGATATAAATCAATGGCTAAATAATTAAAGGATAAGATAGAGTAAGAATCTTTCCTAAGGAAAAATTCCAATAGATGTGTAGATAATGACCATGACAGAATGGAGCTTGTCAGAATGGAGCTTAATTTCGGCCCTTCCCCCACCCAGATGGACTAAATTTAGATGAAACTAGATGCAGAAAAATCTAACAAACACTACCATAAACAAGCAATGAACATTAATATTGCCAGTTTTGTCATATGGAGCTACCAAACCCCCAATATATGATAATATTTGAATAATACTCAAGACTTATAGAAGATAATGGAAATTAAAGATGAAGAAACTTTTATGGACCAGAGGATAAAGCCACGATGTAACAATTGAATGCATCATTTCTTGGCCTCTTGGCTAAGACCAAGTGTAGTAACAGTTGAATGCAATATGGTATCCTGGATTGAATATTGAAGCAAAATGTGGACATTGAGAAAAATCTGGTGAAATTCAAAACAGCCTAAAGTTCTTTTTTATTAATATACCAACAGTGTATCAATTTATTAGTTTTCACAAAAGTACTATGCAAACATAAGATGGGTACAAGGTAAAGAAGGGTACTCTATTTCAACTCTTCTATATACCAAAATATATTCCAAAATATAAGGCCTTTTAAACATCACTAAATGATTTACACGGAAATGACAAATGTTAGTAAGCATCTGAGAGTGTTGTTTTAAACTGTTTCAAGGAAACTGAAAAATTATCCTCCAAGACTATACAGTAGTTTATAGTTCACAGATTTACAACAATGTACATAATTTAGGAAAATAGGTTCAAATCTCCTCAGACATATGTCACTACAACACATCCATCAGCACAGCACCCAACAGGGGGCCCCTCTTCATTCTGCTCCCACCTCCAACCACTTTCCTCCTTTTATTAACTTCAATTTGGCAGGGCCTGTTTTGGTTTAGTTTTCTAAGTTCCTTTGTTTTGTTTATCTATACTCCACACAAGTGCAATGAGCCAGTACCTGCTTTTTTCTTTCCATCTTACTTCATTTAGGATATAATTGTCTTAAAAAGAGGCAAAAGGCTAGAAACTTTCAAGTATAAATTAAACTACATCTAAGGATCTAATGTATAACATTATACAGTTGATAACAATGTATTATGTAATTTAACTTTTTTAAAGGTAAATGAGTGGTGACACATGTGTAAATGGAAAAAGGGAGATTCTTCACAATGCATAAATACATCAAGTCATCACATTGCACATGTTAAGTATCTTGCAATTTTGTAAATCAACCTCAATAAAACTGGGAAAGAATTAAAAATAAAAAGCCAAAGCCATGAATTCTAAAGAAAACTGCAATTTGACAATGAAAATAAGAGTTTCTAATTTTTTAACAAGTTAGATGCTTCTAACAAACATCTGAAGTCTCAACAGTGTCTTAAAGTAATGTGATATGACAAGATAGTTTGAGATGTTAAAACAAAAATTATAGATACAAATAATGAATAACTAACAGGTAATACAACTTGTTGATTTCCCAGTGGCAAATAAGAACCCAATATGTGAATTTACATCATGAAGGTAACTGTTGTAAAACCAACAGTATTACAAATATTAACCTTCCATAGTGCTGATCCTTTAAAAGACTGAAGAAAAAAATGTAGTGATTTTTTCTGACAAAAACTTGGGAAAGAAACATACAGAGCATTTTCAGAGTATGGAGAAAGTTACTTTTATCAACAGATATTCAGGCAGTGGGAAGCTTCTGCAATTGTCACATAAGCACATGACATATTTTTCTTTACAAGATCTCCCTGTCAGCCTCAAATACTTCCAAACCTGGAAAGGTGAATTCTTCACACCCGCAACATTAATGGAGATTTTATCTTAATGACATTAATTATATTAAGAAAACAAAAGACAAAAACCCAAAGGATAAATAAAACAAATATAACTACTTAATAGTTGCTCAATTAGCACGTGTTACATAAAATATAAATACATTCTTTAATTCAACTTCCTTCTTTATCGCAGTGTCTGTTTATATCTTACCTGGATCAACCAAAGCTTTATTAAATATTTCTTTAAGTTTCCTACTCTTCACATTTCTTCCTTGAGCAAGATTTCTGTACATCTCATAGCCTATGATCATAACACCACCATCTTCTTGCCACCTCTGTAGCATGTAGCTTCTCTCCTGGGGACGTTTCACTGTTGCCAATTCAGAGACCTTTTGTGGAGAAATACAGATGTGTTAAAGTATCTATTGCGAATGTATGACTACTAAGCATGTCCACTGAATATGCATCACTGGTAACTAAAAATCTTTTTCTTTTACAATATGCAATTACGCAGTTATTTTAATAACAGAAAATACTTCAAATCATACCTCAAGCTTCTCATCATCTTTTAGTCCCTCTTGCCACTTCTCAAATTCATTCATCCAATTCAAAGCAGTATTAAGAGGACAAACCACTAAAGCTGTGCTGAAATCCAATTTGTCACACAAAAGAACTGTATGAAGAAAACTTACCACCTACAAGAAAACAAATTAAGTTGGCATCTTCATTTAAGTATCTGCTAAAACAATAACAAATTAAGCTGTTTTTGTAATTTAAAGGTTGGGTGATTTAGGTTTTTTTGCTATAAATAATAAGGCAACCAATCAAGTCATCATCTCCCACGTAAGTAAAATACAGAAAAATATTTTAAGTCAAAATATAGTGACTTCAAAAACATGCCTTCCAACTCTGAAGCCACATGATTTCACAATAAATATAAAAAATACCAATTTGGTCCTCCCTGGTGGCGCAGCGGGTTAAAGCACTGCACTGAGAAGCTAAAAAGCCACTTCTGCATGAGTTCAATTCCCGCCTGCCCCGGAGGAGACCACATGGCGTGGCAGACCTCTCCTGGCCCGCCGGCTGCTCCCCTCAGCAGTGTACTTCGTTGATCTACCTGTTCTGCTCCCCACTCTGTCTCTGGTGAAGCCTCTCACCACCCCTGAGCCTCTGGCCTGTACCCCAGTTCTGTATGTACAAATAAATAAATCTTTAAAAAAAATACCAATTTAAGAAATAAACACATCAGCTACCAAGTTCCTGGTCTCCAAAGAATGTCCCTAAAAGTACTTAGAAGATACCATTATCCACATACAAGAGAATTATATTACTTACCATTCCAAAGTGTTCTTACTAACATAGCTTTAGTAATTACATTATGGCTTAAAAATTTTATATATATCCACTAATTTCACATCTAAGCCACGCACAAATAGCAATAATTTTAATATGAAAAATACTTTACATTGTCATTACTACAGGGTCACAGACTGCTAAAAATGTGTGAAGAAACATCATTTCCACCTCACAATCCTTGCAGATTTTGCTGGCTATGCTATAACCATTTTCTTTCATTTCATTAGGATTTCTCTTCAAATATCACCTAATTTAAAAAAATGCTTTCTCTTTCCATTCTGTTAACCATATTATCTGAAAATATTTTATTTTATTAAAGTTTCTCTCCTTCATTAGAATATAATCTTCATGAGGAAAGAATCCTTAAATTCTTGTACACGGCTTCATCTCCAACCTGTACAACTGTGCCTGTGACATAAATAATACAAAAAATATGATTGAATTAATAAGAGCAGAAAACCTTCAAGCTTTTTAGTTCTTACCTGTAAAGTCTTACCAAGGCCCATGCAGTGTGCGAGAATGCATCCTGAACCTGGAGATTTCTTTGTTTTTTTCACAGACTCACAGCAGCAATCCCACATAAACTGAACACCTAGAAATGACGTTTTTTAAAGTACAAGTTACATGCCCAAGTTAAAAAAAAAAACTAATAAATATATCAAAATATAGCCAAAACTTATACAAAGTAGAATATTTTTAAATTACAGATCTAAAGAATCTCTTAAATATAAATGGCAAATCAACCCACTTTCCCTGCTAGAGTTAACTAGGGAAAAAAAACCTGAACACATAGGGTAAGTTTACTTCATTCATTTATCTGAGCTATTTCTGCAACCTTCTTCATACCCTGGAATGGTCCAAAGAAGGAAATGATTCCTATGAAATATATTTCAGGCTTATTAAGTCAATCAGGAAAACAGCCCAGGAAATAATTACCTCTCTTTTTATTCAGCAATTAAGCCTGAACAACAAAAGGGATTCATGACCTTTGGAAGAGGAACTGTAGAATTTCCTTAATAAATACATTCATACATACACTCAAAACTAACTTACTGATTCCACTGTAAGAAAGCACAGAATAATAACTTGGTATCTTTCTAATAATATAGGGGCATTACTAACAAGCACACCCAAAAATGCTGAAACAGCATTTTCTGAAGAAAGCTTTTAGCCAATGCTACCTATGCCCAATGGCTTTAGTCATGACTACAAAGTGCTATCCATTTGCCATATATACCAATTTGTAAATAGCACTTACTTGTCCTTTGATTACATTCATTTTATTTCAATTATTCTATTCGTTGTTCTTCCTCATTTGCTTATGCAATTCCATAAAAGTAGGTATCATATTTCTTTTAGTCACTAATATATCTCTAGTGCTTAGCAGAATATGAAGCACAGAGGACCGAGAGAAAACACAGTAAAATTTTACTAAAAATATTCTATTCATTTAACAGTTCTTACCATCTACTTGATGGGGCTTCAATTTGATGACCATATTTCTATGAACCTGTACTAAAGGTTCTTTGGTTTCTTCATCTTCATCTAAAACCAATTTTGTTGTTATGGGACACTTGGTGGGTGAGGCATCTTCAATTTCTATCACCTACAAAAGAAGGAATTAGAGATAGCTAAGCTCATAGAAATCTTTCAAAAAATGATGGCATATTAGTCTTACCAAGGGAAATTTTCCAAACTACAAACACATATATAATAACTTGGTTCAAAAAAAGACCAGTATATAGAACAACATAAAAGACACTACAAGATAGTTTTAATCATTGTGGAAATGTCAGTAGTTTTATCTAGCTCATTGGTTCTCATACTGGGTATTTCAACATACATGATAGGTAGAGGTGTGAAAAAAGAAGTGTTCTAAAACTATTTGATGACACCACCATTAAAATCTGAATATAGACACATGCCTCCTCCTCCAAAGAGGGATGGTTATTCTTCTAAAGGACACTTCAAACCGTGGAAGGGCACTTATGGTTGTCAAAAGAACTGGTCAAGACTGATATTTAATGTAGGTAGAAAAGAAGGTAAATATAAATAGATTTTGCAAAGTGAAAGATAGTCCCAAGGAAGCACTGTCCCATGTCAGATGCCAAAAAATTCCCACTGAAAAACACTGTAAATATGTTACGATCAGGGAAAAAATCTTTTAGAAAACACTGATTTGAGGACCACAGGCTCAAAAACATTACAAAAACATATTATACCTTCTAACAGTGAATGGGAAACAATTATCTCACATTCCTTATTTCAAAGAAAACAAACATCAATTTGTATACACAAGTATGTGTTCATATATTTCTTGCTATCTTATCCTAATGTCTATCGAATTATACAGTATATTCAAGAACTCTATGCTATATATGGTAGGTACAAGTATACCATTTTACAAATGAACTAAACTGAAGGGCAGATTAGTTTTATAACTTACATTAGAACAAACAACTACTAGGTATCACAACACTAAGATTAACACCCAGAAGGCTGGATACTAGAGTCCATTCTCTTAACCATTACACAATACTACTTAAATAAAGGAAACATTTGTATTAACAGCTTATGGCTCTATGACAATCAATTCAGACTCATGACTTGAGGGCCCTACCTGGTGGTACAACAGGTTAAAGCACAGCACTATGAAGCGATCCACAGCCACTGCCACATGAATTTGATGCCTGGACAGGGAGCTGACCCACATGGCCAAGAGATCTCTCCTGTTTTGCCCGCTCCTCCCCTCAGCATTTTATTTCAGTAATCTCCCTGTTTGCACCCTATTCTGTCTCTGGTGAACCCTCTGACCTCCCCCCACACCTCTAGTCTGTGCCCCAGTTCTTGAATGCATAAATAAATATATCTTAAAAAAAAAACTCAAGACTTGAAAATTAGACATTGTGATACTTAAAGAGTAAAATTTTAGTCACCCTTTTCTTATTTCATTCCCTACAGATATTTCAAATATAAACAAAAGTAGATACAATAGTATAATGAGTGCTGTTACCCATTATTCAGCTTCAAAAACTAGCAACATGTGGCCAGTTTTGTTTCACTGATGGCTCCAACCCATTCTACAAATTTTCAGATTCCACAAATGATTCTAAAGCAAATCCAAAAGACCATGTAATTTATATGTAAATATTTTTAGAATGTCTCTTTAAAATGACACTCTAAAGCCATAACTACAGTACAATCATCATATGAAAAATAAGTCAAAATTTATAATGAATTACCTACTATAATGCACTTACATAAAATTATAATATACATATATTAGGTAACAATGGATAGAACAGAAACAGTACAGGCCATTTAGATATAAACTCTACTTCAACAAAATGCTTAGACTCTCCATCTGCAAGTTAGAAGATTATAAATAGCACTCACAAGCTTGTTACGGAGTTTACATAAGGTCGTGTATCAAAGTATCTGGTATAGATAAATATTCACTAAAACAAAACCAAGCAAAAAGTGTAAGATCTACATAGCTTCACTGTTATTCCAATATTTAAGAAATAAATCATACCAAATTCTCTAAAACCTCTTCAAATAAAGCAGAAGGATATTTCAAACTCCTTCTACTAGAAGGGCAGTATTACCATAATAGCAAAACCACATAAAAACATATCAAAGGAGGGCCCTCCCTGGTGGTGCAGCAGGTTAAAGGACAGCACTAAGAAGCTAAAGCCACTTCAGCATGAGTTTGATTCCTGCCCCAGAGGTGACCCACTTGGCGCAGCAGACTTCTCCTGACCTGCCCGCTGCTCCCCTCAGCAATGTACTTCGTTGGTTGGCCTGTTCTGCTCCCCACTCTATCTCTGGTGAATCCTCTCACTGCCTGCACTTCTGGCCTATACCCTAAATCTGTATGAATGAATGAATGAATATCAAAAAAAAAAATGAAACTATTCACTGATAGCTCTTAGGACCACTGATGCAAAAATGCTGAACAAAATGATAGCAAATCAAATCCAAGAATGTATAAAAAGAATTATACATCATTACCAAGTGGCTTTTGTTAGAAGTATGAGAGAATGGCTAAGTATTTGAAAACCATTATATTGATAGTTTTCTAAAAAAAAAAAAATTCACATGATCATATCAATAAAGATGAAGCATCTGACAAACACAATACATTTCCATGAAAAAAATTCTCAGTAAACTAGGAATAGAGGAGCTTCCTCAACTTAATAAAGATAGCAAACATCATACTTGGTGATAAGAAACTAAGGGCTTTCCCACTAAGATCAAGTACAAGGCAAGGATGACCCTCCTCACCACTCCTTTGGACAATCATACTGGAAATTCTAGCTAATGCAGTAAGAAAAGGCAATAAAAGGTATACATATTGGCCCTCCCTGGTGGTGCAGCGGGTTAAAGCACAGCACTGAGAAGCTAAAGCCACTTCCACGAGTTCGATCCCTGCCTGCCCCGGAAGAGACCACATGGCGCGGCAGACCTCTCCTGACCTGCCCGCTGCTCCCCTCAGCAGTATACTTCATAGATCTGCCTGTTCTGCTCCCCTCTCTGTCTCTGGTGAATCCTCTCACCCTCCACGTCTCTGGCCTGTACCCCAGTTCTGTATGAATAAATAAATAAATCTTAAAAAAAAAACAGTATACATATTGGGAAATAAAAAATAAAACTGTCCTTGTTCACAAATGAAATGATCCCGTATGCAGAATATCCAAATAGAATTAACAAAAAGAAATCCTGAAATCAATAAGATTATTGCAAGACTGCAAGATAAACAAAATATGTAAAATAGCTCATTTATGTATCAGCAATGGACGCTTATCATATGACCCAATAACACAGTTCCAAAGAAAATGAAAATGCAGAGGCATTTTCATTTATACAAATGTTAACATGATTCATAGCCAAAATTAACCAAATGTCCATCAACATATGAATATAAACAAATTACAGCCTATGCATAAAATGAAATAGTACTTAACCATAAAGACAGCAAACCACCCAGTACATACAAACCTGGATGAATCTCAAAATTCACCTTGAGAAAGAAGGCTTACAAAAAAAAATTATGACTTTATTCACATTAATGTTTGAAAAAAGTGAATCTATAGTAATAAAAGTAGATCAATTATTTCCTGAACAGGAAATGATGAAAGTTTTGTAAATCCTAACTGATGTGATGGCTACACAGAAGTACACTTTTTTTTTTAAAGATATATTTATTCATACAGAACTGGGGTACAGGCCAGAGATGCGGAGGGTGAGAGGATTCATCAGGGACAGAGTGGGGAGCAGAACAGGCAGATCGACGAAGTACACTGCTGAGGGGAGCAGCGGGCGGGTCAGGAGAGGTCTGCCGCGCCATGTGGTCACCTCCGGGACAGGCAGGGATCAAACTCATGAGGAAGTAGCTTAAGCTTCTTTGTGCTGTGCTTTAACCTGCTGCGCCACCAAGGAGGGCCAGAAGTACACTTTTAACAAATTACTTGCACCATAAACTTCACATGGGAAATATAGCATACATAACCGGTGGCTTATATAAAACTTTTAATGGGCCTTCCTTGTGGCGCCACGGGTTAGGATGCAGCACTGCAAGCTAGCTGCACCCATGTCAGTACAAGTTTGACACCCATCCCAGAGGTGATCCACAAAGTGCAGCAGACCTCTCCCGACCTGCCCACTGCTCCCCTCAGAATGTACTTCATCCACCTGCTTGTTCTTCTCCCCACACAGTCTCTGGTAAAGCCTCCCACTGCCCCTGCACCTCTGATCTGTACCCCAGTTCTGTATGCATAAATAAACAAATCTTTAAAAAAAAATAAAACTTTTAATTTCTCAGGAATAGTTTACTTATGCTGAACCATCGCTAGTAGCTAAAAATGGTGAATTTAACATACTTCTTTACACAATAGCATCAGAGAACAGTTACAATCCCACAAGTAATAAAGTAGGAGGAAGACCCTAGCAGCAATGACATGTCAATAAAATTATGAAGTTAAAGGTATAAGGACAAGAGTCAAACGATAAAATACAACAGAAAAAACTGGAGTCAAAGAGGGAGCAGATGCAATATACACCACACAGCTCTGTTCTGAATATTTACGAAACTGTATCATGTGAATAATGATGTTTGAATCATAAATGTGATAAATTGAGACTGAGATAATGAGAAGAGGAAAATGGCTTTAGTGGGTACTTTGAGTGTCAAATTCACAACTTTGCTATAATAATGGTAATGTCTAAAACTCAGAAATGAAAAAAATATTTTATAAGTCTATTCAATACAAACATACCATTAAAAATAAAGACCAGCTAAAAGAACTAAAAACTACTACCCTTGAGTATAGTCTAAATAGAAGAGAAGATGATGGTATTTAGCCTTAAGACAGTTATATCATTCTACCAAAGCACATAAATTAAATGAGATACATTTTTTAAAATTCAGAAACATGGTGACTCAAAGAAAAGGATATGGACTATGTTAGTGCACATTTATTTGAAGCATAAGAGAAAATACAGCACTATTATACACAATAATTATAATTATGTGAAGAATATAATAAATAAATAATTATGTGAAGAATATATTAAATAAGATCAAGTAAGAAATTATGAATTCAGTATCTAAGAAATGCTATTTGTTTTAATTTTTAAGTAAAACTAACATTTCAAAAAGAAACAACTAAACATAAGCATCACTAAGTAAGATGCAAGAGGAAGCATATATTACATCTCATGATTATTATTGCCAAAATAAAAACTGAATTTTGAATCTGTTCAAGCTTCTATATCCAATGTCATTTATAGGACATAATGGAGTCAGTGTAAATACATCAAATTCTACAAAAAATTATCTGGTTTCTTAAGCAAATATTCTATAAGGAATGGGGAAAAAAGGAAAACTATAGATTTAAACACAGTTAAGACACACAGCATCCACATGCCACATATAATATGTACTCAGGTCTTCTTGGTATCCTAATTCACACCAATGATTTTTAAAAACCACAAATGTGAGGGAGAAAAAGTATATTTTTAATAGTGACTAGACGCTGAATGATTATGGAACTATTGTTAGTAATGGCACCACAGTATGCTTAATAGGTTCTCATCTTTTCACAATATATGCAAAACTATTATAGATGGAATAATATGATTTGAGACACCTACAAACTAATACAAAAGTAAGAGAATATATCAAGTAACACAGGACATGTGCTGGTGAATGCTGTGGCTACATAATGGGTACACAGAGATCAATAATATTATTTCCACCACCAGTATATGTTCTTGAAAGCTTTCATAACAAAAAGTTTACTGAAATATTGAAGTAATTATGTTTAAATTTTTCTACCCTTGATAAAACAATCACTTTTGTAATCTTTTGAAATTTCTTTTATATGAAATGTTTCATAAATTTGCATGTTATCCTTGCACAGTGGACATCTAACTTTCTGTGTATCATTTTAATTTTAAATCTACCTGTTACTGAAGCAAGGACAATCCAATGACAATTTTTAGGCTGCATAAAATACTGCTAGTAAAGAAAAGCACCTGTTAATAGAAATCCACTATGAATATACAAAAGTGATATATTTAAAAACTGTAAATATCAGTGTACCTCTCTCAATTTCTCTCTCTCCCGTTCCCTCTCAGCAATACGTTTCCGCCTTTCTTCTTCTTCCTTAAGAGCATTTTGTGTTTCTGTCCTTAGTTTATCATCCTTAAGTATCTTTCGAATTTTCTTTCTGCCTTTTCCAGGAGACTTGGAATCATCATTTTCATCTTCTTCCTCCTCTTCATCCTCCTCCTCTTCTTTATCTTCATCAGAATTACTCTATGAAATTAAAACAATTAGAAGTAAATACAGCATTGTCTGATTCATCACTTCATTTTCTAATAATTAGTATACAAAAGAGGTAGAAAAATACTGAAATTTTCTTGAATTATATGTTGTAATAAAGGAGAGTCTTAAAAAGCAGCCATTAAATGAGGCAAAGAATTGGCAGACATTTCTCCAAAGAAGCTATAAAAATGTCCAATATTTTCTCTCATATGTGGAGGTTAAAGAAACAAAACTAATGAAGAAGCAAAATCAAAAATAAAAATATAGACTACAAACAAAATAGTGGCCACTGGGAAGAAAGAGGTAAAAAGGGTCAAGGGTGAAAGAGGTCCTTTGTATGGTAAGGGATGGAACTAGACTCTTAGTGAATGTAATGTAGTATATACAAGGGTTGGCTTATAATGCTGAATACCTGGAAACTAAGTAATGTTTTAAAACCAATGTCACTTCACTAGTGGTAATAAGGACACAGAAGAACTGTAGGTCCTATGCTTTGGGAAAACAGACAACAGTTCAAGAAAAAATAGTTCCTAAACACTGAATTAACATAATCCAATAATTCAATTTAACAGATTATAATGAAAAGAATTAATACCAGTAAGTCAAACTATCTCTGTATACCTATTTTCACAGTAGCATTGCTCAAAATAGACAAAGTGAAAAGAAAACCTTAATGTGCTTTGGTTGTTAAATAGGTAAACACAGTGAGGTACATGTGTACAACAGAATATTGTCCAATTTTAAAGAAGAAAGACACTCTGACATCTGGAGACAATAAGCATTTTCTGAAACCATTTTTATTGAGATGTTCCACTTAATCTCAGCTAAATACATTATCAATAAAACCTGAAATTTCAAGCCCAGGCAAAATATAAACCAAGGACCAACACTAATGAGTCAATAAAGAGTTTATAGTGATTTAACCACCTATGACTTAAAGAACATACTCATCAGATATTTTTTTTGTTAAAATGAAAGACATGATTTTAAAATAAGTAGATTTAACTGAAAGGGTCATGGAATGAGTCACAAAGTTAAAGTATACCTAACAAGCCAAGAACATCATCTGCTCAAATTAAAATGAAAATTCAACTGCTTCCAAGAACTAATCTTCAGTAAAGAGAGATTCAAAGACTAAATAATATTTAAAAGCTGTACAAATTTGAAAACAAAGGAAATAGAGAAATCTGATACATGCACAACATGGATGAACCTTCAGCACATTATGCCAAATAAAGCAGACACAAAAGGACAAATATGTAATTACTACATTTATATAAGGAACCTAAAATAGGAAAATTCATAACCACAGAAATTAGAATAGAGCTTACAAGGGGATGGGTGAAGGAGGGAAGGAGAGTTACTTACTGCTTAATGGGTATAGATTTTCCAATTATAGATGTAATGAACCCCCAAAGAGAATAGTGCTGACAAAATAAAGCAGGTAACAGAACTTATACTTTATATAATCCTGCTTATATATAAAAAATTCAAATGACTAGAGGAAATTATTTCACAAGTTACTCAAAATAGTGTTTTATGTCTTAGGAAAATAGTACACTTCACATCAATTTTGTATCCCCACAAATATAAAATAAGTTAAACAACCTAAAATTTTATTAGATTAAGTTAAGGAACAGGAAAAAACTGACATAGTGTCAAAATTAATGTTTCTACATATATATTCTGTAAGTCAGTCCTCCCATAAATGTAAACTAAATGAGTAAAATTCAACTAACAGAATGCAGAAGAGTTAATAGTATATTTATTAGTCTATTGTAAAGTTCATGCAAACAGTAAATATAACCTTGTTTTCACTGGATGAATCTTCTTGAACCTTAATGCGTCGCCTTTTCTTTTTCTGTTTATAACTCCGCTGATTCTCTTCCAATTCTGCCTTCTTTGCAGACCTAAGAACATTTAGAATGAAAAAATATTTCATGATGAATTTCCTTAAAAGATTATTTCTAGAGTTAGAAATTGGTACACTAAGTTACATTAATCAAGAGCATATATTTCTGGCATTAAAGATAGACACACAGATCAATGGAAGAAAAATGAGTATCTAAAAGAAAAACTTAACATTTTAACCAATTCATATTTTAAAAAGGTATCAAGGGCCCTCCATGGTGGTGCAACAGGTTAGGACATAGCACTGCAAGCTGGCCACAGCTCCTTCAGTGCGAGTTTGATCACAGCCCAAGAGGTGATCCACATGGCACAGCAGACCTTTCTTGACCTTCCCGCTGCTCCCTTCAGCAGTGTACTTCCATCGATCTGCCTGTTCTGCTCCCCACTCTGTCTGTGGTGAGTCCACTTGCCGCCCCTGTACCTCTGGCTTGTACCCCAGTTCTGTATGCATAGATAAATAAATCTTTAAAAAAAAAAGGTATCAAGACAACCCAATTGAGAAAAAAAGTCATGCCAGCAAATGGTGCTAAGAAAACTCGATCTCTACCGGCTAAAGAACAAAGCTGGATGGACCCCTATCTTGCACTATACAGAAAACCTAATTGGAAATGGATCAAAGGCCCTTTAAGATAAATGTTATAGCTAACAGAGTGTCCACTATCTTATTGTAGAAAGTGAGAGTATGGTTATTTTGCTATATTAAGCTAGGGAGAGAAAAAAAATGAGTTCCTTGAGACAGTTTGAAAAAAAATATGACAAGTCTTAAAATTGCAAAATTTCAACCCCCAAATGCCACTTTAAAAATTAGTTTGAAGAAATAATCATACAAGTACATGAATATACATATACACATACATATAGGTGCATATGTATGTATATATCATTAAAAACAATGCTGTGATAAAAAATTATTTGTCAATATGCAAATATTTTTATGACAATATTATCTACAGTAGAAAACATAAAGAACAATCCAAAAATGCAAAACTGGAAGTTTACCTTAAATAACATTTTATAGAGGTCCAGATGGTGGGGACAGAGAAGGGTCTAAGTCCTAGATTTGGAGCTAAAAAACTCTTTGAAGAAAACAGCCATAAATTTTTGTGATGTTGGATTAAGGAATAGATTCTTAAATATGCTAACAGAAAGCACAGTCAAATAAATAAACTGAAACATGAATGGATACTGTCAAGAAAACTCAAAAGAACCCACAGAATGGGAGAAAATGTTTGGAAATCATCCAAGTTATTTTATGACAAATGATAAAAAGACAGGCCAATTAAAAACTAGAAAAATTTTCTTCAAAGAAAATATCCATCAGGCACATGAAAAAATGCTCAACATCGTTATCTTCAGTGGAGTTGAAGGCATTCTGCACCTGATATCCTTTAAGTGCGGCTGGGTGTGGCAACAGTGGGAGTTTCTTGATAGTCACCTAGAAGGCTGTACGACAGCTACCTGGAGGCCCACCTCAGTAGGTAAGGCTTGAGGCCAGTCCAGATCTTGCTGGGTTGCCAACTGTGACCTCCACCTCCCGCCCACAACCCCCACTCCTCCTCGGGGATCCAACACCCACCTTTATAAGCAAGATGTTTACAGGTAGCACAACCAACAGCAGGCAGTAGGAGGTGGTGAGCATTTTACTGCCTACCACCAACAGCTCCACTGGGGCTCAGGCTGCTGGCAGTGGCATCAGCAGGCAGAGGTTCCCCTTCTATGCCAACCCAGGACATGCAGACTCACTGGGGCTGCAGTGGCAAGGTTAACTGATGCTGGAGCAAGCTCCTGCAGAGCAGGTAACAAGTCCATCAACTACTGTTCAAGAATGCAAGTAGAATTATAGGGTCCCAATGGGTTAACTGCAGGCAGTATAGAGAGGGCCATAGAGTTCTGGACCAACATGGCAGGCTCCTAGCAGAATTATCTTGCAGCAGCTGAGAGCCAGTGCTGCTATACCCAGCGCACTTAAAGGATATCAGGTGTATAGTGCCTCCAATCCCACTGAAGGCAGCTCCAGTTCACAAGCACATGAACTTCCTCTCAGGTCAGGTCCTACCAATAACATGACCCGAAAGGAGACTCACGGGCCTCAGCCTGGTATCTCAAAGTGCTATTTTTGGTGGTGTAGTCCAACAATTTATAAAGAACTATTAACACTGGTATCTCTAACACTGTCTCCTGGTAAACAGTGATAATCAGCATTACTGGCTAGTACTATCTAGCAGTAATGGCAAGTGACCAGCATGCTGTGTTCTAATCACATCTGAGTGAAGCCCCACATTTCTGATCACCTGGTACTGCCTCCCCTCCAGTGCTACTGCCTCCACTGCTATCTAGTCCAGCATCCAGTGCTTCCTGTTAGTGCTTCAGGCTGTTGCTGTGGACTACAGTGATGTCATCTCAGCAGTCCCACCTATGAGAATCTCCAGCTACTTCTGTGAGTTGGATTCTGACCTACTGCTTGCAGGTATGCAATGAGCTCCACACAGTCATTGATGGGACAGCACCATCTTGAACAAGCAGCCTTTTGTTTGTGACTTCTGGACACTGTGAACTATCCAGGCTCAGACAGCCAGCCACTTGTTGCCTTAGAAACTCTTGTTTAGCCTGTTTGTTAAATAAACCCTTTTATTGCTGTTCCTTGAGTCTGAGTGGTCTTGCAATTGTATGCACAGGTGAGAACTCATAGACACTGAAATGTCCTCTACCTTTGTACTATCCTTTGTCCTTCTACTATACTGGTATAGCCCTGTTTCTGTTAATAGCCTTATTAAAAAAAAGAAAAAGTAAAGAAAATGGGTTGGTGATAATGTGGAGAAAGTAAAAGCCTTTTGTACAGTTGGTGAGAATGTATAATGGTATAAACCACCTCTATGGAAACCATTGTGGAAGTTGCTCAAAGCCGTAAACACAGAATGACCATATTGACCCAGCAAGACACCAAAGATTTTAAAAGAAGAAAATGAAGAGATATTTGTATACCCATGTTGATAGCAATATTATTGACAATAACCAAAAAGTGAAAGTATACCAAGAATTCATCCATTAAACAAAATCTGTGGTATATACATAACAATGTAAGATTATTTACCCTTATAAAGGAAAAGCATGCTACAATATGGATGAAGCTTAAAGACAGAGTACCTGAAATAAATCAGTCTCATAAAGATAAATACTGTATAATTCCATTTATAAGGGTACCTACAGGAGTCAACTCATAGAGATAGAAAACAGAACAGTAGCTGCTGAGGGTTGAGGGAAGGCAAAGTGGTGAATTACTGTTTAACATGTAGAGTTTCAACTTTGTAATACAGTGAAAGAGATTGGTTATAGAATAATATGAATATATTTAACACTAAAGAATTGTACAGCTAATGGTTTAAATGATAAATTTTGTATTACATGCATTTTACCATTATTTAAAAAATAATTTAAAAAATGAATCAAGTGCTGATACAAAATACAGCATGAATACCCTTGAAAACATTCTACTAAGAATTCATTCATTAAAAAAAATGTATATATTATATGACACCATTCATATGAAATGTCCAGAACAGGCAAATCCATACACAAAAAAAGTAGACTAGCTTTAGTAGGAGATGAAGGCAAGCAGAATGAGAGTACAGGGCTTCCTTTTGAGACATGGGAAATGTTCTAAAATTAAGATAGTGGCCATACTTCAAAGCGCTGTAAATATTTCAGGAACCTCTGTATTTTTACACTTAAATGATAAAATTTGTGCTATATGAGATATAGCTGTCTTTTTTTTTTTAAAAATTTATTTATTTGTGCATACAGAACTGGGTTACAGACCAGAGGCTCAGGGGCGGTGAGAGGCTTCACCAGAGACAGAGTGGGGAACAGAACAGGCAGATTGACAAAGTACACTGCTGAGGGGAGCAGCGGGCGGGCCAGGAGAGGTCTGCCACGCCATGTGGTCACCTCCGGGGCAGGTGGGAATCGAACTCATGCGGAAGCGGCTTCAGATTCTCAGTGCTGTGCTTTAACCCGCTGCGCCACCAGGGAGGGCCAGTCTTTTTAATCTTCATTATCCCTATCATTATTTTCTATTTCCCCTAGCGTACAATATATTCTCAGGGAATATATCTACAAGTATCATCTAAAGTACTACTCAAAAAGAAAAATCTCAACTGTTTTAAAATTTGTAAATGGAGAGATAAACACACTCACAAATACCAAAAGATATGCATTTGATAAACTATAGAAAGATCATAATATTCAGGAGAAAATAAAAAAAATTAAATGGACTGTATTATCTAAGATATGCTAACAATAAAATAAAAATTTAAATAGTAATAGAGACTGCACGAATAACAATATTAGTACTAAAAACAATAATTTCCATTCGAGGAGCACTGACTATTTGCCAAGCACGCATTGTGATAAGCCCTTTTACATGCAGCATTCTCCTTTCATGCTCACAGTAATCAATACTATGAGTGCTAGTATAATCCCCAATTTCACAAGTGAGAGAAGTGAAGACAAGTATCCATACAAATAGAAAGCAGTAATTTCAGAAATTAGATGAGGAAGTCAATTTATAAGGACTCCAAACTATTTACACTAAAACTGAACTGAACACAAACCAAAAATGGTAGGGTTTTCTCACACTGAAATTCCACCTAATGCAGAACATACAATTCACTATAATGTTTACATATAATTTTTAAATTACTGATTTTTTATTTGAAGCTCATTTCAAGTCAAAATATTAAATTTTATGTTAAAAGTACAGAGTGATTCTATAAATGAAATTCCTAGAATTTTTGAAAAAAACAATGTAATATTTACCTTGTTCTGGGCCGCTGTTCATCTTCAGATTCACTAACTTCTTCACTAACTCCTGATTCCTGAAAATCAGAATCTTCAGAATCTTCACTGCTCACTTAAATTTAAAAAAAAAAGTTATTAAATATGTCCCATAGGAATGAAAAGTACTTAACTAGTCAATAACTTCACATTAAAACTTAGAAGATTGTGAGATGAGTATCTGTTGTACATACATTAATGTATGTACATAATGTTAAATGTACAAATGAGATTAGCCCATTTAATGATTCATATGGGGCTAAATATGACTCAACTGCATTTGAATTATGATTAATAAACTACCATTCCATTAAAGTAACCATACTGAAATGAATTCTGGTTATTCAAAACAAGAAAAGTAAGCTGGCCAAGATGGAATAATGGCAATCACAGACTCTACCATTTATGACAACTATAAACTAAGAATAAATAGGTAAAGAAATGACTTAAGGACTCTGAAAAGGAAACGGTAATAGGCAAACCAGAAACTTAAATCAAAACATGAATAATGACCTTTATAATACTTGGAGAGTTTGGGGTAAGGGCTATGAGTCATGGGCTTTTTTTCTCCTTCCCTAGTTTTGAAATTACGACAGGCTGAATTCCAAAACTATGCAAGTGTGCTTACTGTAAACTTTGTGAAAAACTATTTCTAACTAAAGTCTGGGGAAAATGGGCCAAGTCCCATCATATCACAACAATATAAAATAACTCTTATTTATCTCTCCAAAATTGTATTTCTCTGTACCTACAATGCAGGTAACTAAAATCTCAGAAGGTACATCATTCTAGCCAGAGGAAGTTGGGCAGGGAAAATACAACGTGGGTTTGGAATATCTTCTTATGGCAGTAAGTAGAGAATACTTAAAAAAAAAAGATCAAAAGATCATATCAGAGGACATGATCCAAGCTGAAGGAATTCCCAATAGCGAAAGCTGGGAAAATCTGAAACAAAAATGAACATTTGAATGGTTCTCCAGTCTACGGAGTGTGCTACACTTCTCAGTTCAAAAAATGTTTTCCTATTCCTAATGGAAAAGAAGAATTCAGGGGCCTCCCTGGTGGTGAAAGGGGTTGGGGTGTGGCATTATAAAGCTGTCCCTAGCCACTGTGGTATGGGTTTAATCCCTGGCCAGGGAGGTAGCCCACATGGATTGGCAGACCTCTCTTGTCCCACCCACTGCTCCCTCTGCAGTATATTCAGTCTATCTACCTGTTCTGCTCCCCACTCTGTCTTTGGTAAATCCTCTCACCCCCACATCTCTGGCCTGTACCCCAATTATTGAATGCATAAAAAAAAGTAAATCCTTAAAAAAAATAAAAAGCATGTTAAAAAAAAAAAAAAAAGCAGGTGAATTCACCTGCCCTTCAGGAGTTAGGTAGTAAAGTGTTCAGAAACTACCCCTAACAAGCACAATTCCTTTGAACTTTTGCAAGCCAAAATTCTCAGGCAAATTTTATATTTAACTGGTCAAAGTATATGAGATTAGTTAACCTATGATGTCTTCCTCGACTCCCAAGTAAAAGCACACAAAAGCACACAAAAGAGACGTACGATGTATATAGCCTCGTGTACGTAAGTATTTACTGCCAAGTTGACAAGAGCCTCTAGTCTGTCTTATAAGTATAGTCGCATTTCCTATTTTTCCTTTCCCTCCCTATGTAGTCCAGCTACATATTAATTACATCCCTACCATAATACTTGTACTCCCTCCACCACCATGTACAAACATTTGTCAAAGGCTTTAATTTTTTTCCGCTATGTGTATTCTAATTCTCCATATCCACCTGTTCCTCACTTACAATGTCATCTGTTTGGTTAAACTCCTAATGTCTATGAAATCTTCTCTGTGAATAACTCCCATCCTCCAAGAAACTAAAGAAAATCTCTTTTCTGGTACAGTATAGCAATACCTCTGCTATACAAGACATCCTCTGTGGTATTATAGTTTCTAATAATAACTAAATATTATTAAGGCAGTGATTGCCAAGCCTACTAAAATTCAGAATCACTGAGATGCTGTTAAAACATAAATACTTAGTTTTGACCCTCTTCAATTACGCTTTCACTGAGATGCTGTTAAAACATAAATACTTAGTTTTGACCCTCTTCAATTACGCTTTCAACGGCTTATGGCTCATCCCTGTCACTAATATTATTTTAAAATCCCTCAAGTGATCCATGTGCAGTCAGGTTGAAAACCACCATTCAAAAAATGACCTGTTTATGCCTTCAATGTTTACTAAGATACTGGAAACATTTAACCACTCAATGTGGAAGAATTCAGACTTTTAATATAATGAAAGTGTAATCTGACTACATATAAGTTTTACAAAAACACTTGCATTAATCTACCTGAATTAATGGCATAATCTAAAATGCATCTTATTTAGACAAGCATTATTTCTTCCTGTAGTTATAGGCAATCCTTTATTTTCTACATAGCCATTAGGTATATTTTATATATTTTCATATTTATTTATTTTCACTCTAAAAGTATCTGGCTATTAAGGGATAAAATTATTCATTGTGTCATCACAAGATTTTTGGATTACCTTCCCATTCTAAATTCCCTCACCCTCATGTAAGAGGTTATTTCCATGATGTCGATATTCACAATCAGAAGTCAACTTGTAGAGCAGATATACTTAAGATTTATTTCTTAAAACTAATGTATATAATGAGCATGTTCTTTATATTCACAAGTAAAATTTCTTACCTTTCCTTCTGTTTCTACTTTTAGCTTCTTTGTACTCTTTAGTTTTTGTCTTTTTTTCTTCTCCAGATTCTCCATCACTCACAGTTAGCTTGTGCCTCAAAAGCCTGTGTCTGTATCTTGGCTTCTTAGATTCTTCAGAATCAGAATCTGATTCAGAATTGTCTTCATGTTTTACTTCTAAATGGAGAAAAATATATCTATAAAATCTTAAGTTACTTTTTATCTGTTGGCAGTTATTATGACTTATAGAACAGATCAGAACTACTTATTAGCTACCATTGATGACATCAGGCAACATACAAAAGATATGATCTACTACTATTATTAAATGGATTAAAACCACCAATATACATATGTAAATTTTTAAGAATATAAAAAATATTCTGCCCCAACATTGTCCCTCTTATAACAGTGACTGACAAAATATAAACAAAGTGACTGACAAAATATAAACAATTATTGCCAGTTACTCATAGACTAAAGTCAGCAAATCCCTATATGTTTTATAAATTCCAAATACATACACTAACAGATTTTATGGTCAAACAATCTTAAGAGACTAAACTGATCAAAGAATCAAATGATATCCTATATTTCTCTTTGGAAATCTCACCCTCATCTCTCAGGTTTTCCTCATTGTGTTTTTCAGTTCTTTTTTTCCCTTCTTCGGGTTCATCATCTGAAGATCCATCCTCATCAGAGGAAAGATTGGCTTTAATTTCTTCTAATAGCATCTTCTTGGCAATTCTTTGAAGTAAAAAAACAATAAAAAATCTATTTGGTGGTGACGTTTAACGACTTTGAAACAAAATACAATTACCTGTATCAAAACAGGTAGTAATGTCAATAGATTTTATGTTAAATACTATCAAAACTATGCCTTACACAGTGGGTTATCCGTACGAGTTCGATCCCCACCTGTCCCAGAGAGAGCCACATGGTGCGGCAGACCCCTCCAGACCCGCCAGCTGCTCCCCTCAGCAGTGTACTTGGACGATCTGCCTGTTCTGCTCCCCGCTCTGTCTCTGGTGAATCCTCTCACCCTCTGCATCTCTGGCCTATATCCCAGTTCTGTATGAATAAATCTTTAAAAAAAAAAAAAACCAAAAAACTAGGCCTTAACCAAAGCTACAACTAAAACTTTTTTTTTTTTTTTAGATTTATTTATTTGTACATACAGAACTGGGGTACAGGCCAGAAGCTCAGGGGCGGCGAGAGGCTTCACCAGAGACAGAGCGGGGAACAGAACAGGCAGATCGACGAAGTACACTGCTGAGGGGAGCAGCGGGCGGGTCAGGAGAGGTCTGCCACGCCATGTGGTCACCTCCAGGGCAGGCGGGAATCGAACTCATGCGGAAGCGGTTTCAGATTCTCAGTGCTGTGCTTTAACCCGCTGCGCCACCAGGGAGGGCCACAACTAAAACTTTTAAAAATAGTTATAGAAATAATTTCTCCCTATACTAAGTATGAAAAATTGCAGGGACATTTCTATTATTTTGACCCATTGTAATTTCAAGCGGGATAATGCTCCAATACTATGCTTGCTCTTATTGTCAAAAACTACAATGTCAGAAAGACCCACAAAAGTAAATCAACCTATTCAGACAAACGGCATCCTAAGACAAAACACTCCTTAAGAGGATTTACTCAGCAACAAAACATACTGTCAGAAAATCAGTATGTAATAAACCACTTTATAATAAAACAATGCCCTTCCTAGTATTTTTGGACTTAAGTCTCAGTGCTATTACCACTGCAGCCTAAGTTCAATCCCTGGCCAGGCAGCTGACCCACATACAGTGCAGCAGACCTCTCCTGTCTCACCCACTACTCCCCTTACTAGTATATTTCACTAAAATATACCTGTTCTACCCCCTACTTTGTCTTTGGTGAATACTCTCACTCTCCTGCATCTTTGGTTTACACATCAGTTTTTCAACAGGGGATGGGGTGAGGGTAAGGGGAAGACAGTGTCTCAAAACTGGTAGATATTTTTGGCCCTCAAAGTTTCAATTTACTTCACAAATTCTGTTAGCCAGAAAAGGCATACACCAAATACTATGTATTGAAAAAAATATTACGTATTGAAGCAACGAGAAACCCCAATAATATTCAAGCTAGGGCAAAGAAGACAAGGAATATGAGTGTTATTAGACACATGGCAAAATAACACAAATTACTTCAACTGTCTAAAATATAGTATATAGTGCAGTTTCCTCATTCATTGATAACAAAATTTCTCAACATGCACTTCAAAGAGCAATTTGCTAATGAAAAGACTGCAAATAAAAAACATGAGAAAGAACTTCTCTAAGACAATATTATGTTAAAATAAAATTTATTCCTAATTCGCTTCACTTTTACATCTGAAAATCAAAGATAAAAGCAATCATACAGCAATTGTGCAAGATGAGGTCATTTTTCTATGTCTCCGTGTCTTATAGCTATAAATTAAAAAATCACAGTAACAAATGATTGCCTTATAGAGAAGGTGACATGAGTCTCAGTTTCCCATAAATTATCCCTGAAATAAACATCTACTCTGCATTAGAACTGAACCTCTAGTTCATACAAAAAATTGAAATGATGGGACTTTTGTCATTTTTGAAATTGAAACCCTTCTTTGTCTTTCTTATCATGTATTCACATTTCCACGAAAAATTAATTGAATGGTAAGAAATGTGAATGCATATAAAAGCTTCCTCAATTTTATTTGAAAAGTAGACTGTTAATTGCTACTTATTCGATATTTTCAATGATGTATAAACAGACTAGAACAAAATTAATCAATTCCACAAATGTTTATTTTGCATCTTTGGTTCATTTTCCTCTAAGTAGATATACCAGAAATATTAAGACAACACAAGAATTACCAATTGCTAGGGAAAACACAAATAAACTTCCTTTACAAAGAGACACCCCATCAACAGGTAGAAAATATTTCTACTCCACATAACTGATATGGGACTGGTATCAAAGGTCTACAGCTTACATAATTGAACAGAAACCAAGACTCTAGTCAAAAAGCAGGCAGATGAGCTACAGTGATACCTCACCAAAGTGGAAATGTAGATGGCCAGCACATGAGAAAATGCTCATCATCACTTACAATCATGGAAAAACAAGTAAAAATCACAATGAGCAATCACTGCACACCAGTAAGGATGGCCCACTGTGAAATAGCTGACAATAGCAAATGCTGGCAAGTATATGGAGAAACAGGAATCCTCTTACACTGCAATGCAAACTGGTCCAACCACCACAGAAGGCCAACGGAGGACCCTTAAATTACTAAAAATGGATCTACCATATGACCCAGCAATTCTACTCCTAAGAATCTGTCTAGACTTCGTCTTTAGTCATAAAGACATTAATTCAAGGGCCTTCCTGGTGGTGTAAGGGATTAAAGCACAGCACTATTAAACTATTATCAGCTACTGCAGCATCAGTTTGATCCCCAGCCAGGGGGCTACCCAATATGATACAGCAGACCTCTCCTATCACGCCCACCACTTCCCCTGTGCAGTATATTTCAGTTGATCTGCTTGTTCTGCTCCCCACTCTGTCTCTGGTGAATCCTCTCACCCCCATACTTCTGGTCTGTATCCCAGTTCCTGTATGCATAAATAAATAAATCTTTCAAAAGGGTACTTGCACTCCTATGCTCAGTGCAGTACTATCTACAATAGCTAAAGTATGAAAACCTAAATGCCCAAAATAGATGACTCAATCAAGAAGATGTGGTGTACATACACACATACACACACACACACACACACACACACACGAATACTAGTTGGCAATCAAAAAGGATAAATTCATGTCATTTGTAGCAACATGAATGGGGCTGGAAGAGATTATGCTTGTTGAAATAAGTCAGAAGGTAAAAAAAAAATAAACAGGGCCCTCACTGGTGGCTCGGCGGGTTAAAGCACAGCACTGAGAATCTAAAGCCACTTCCGCATGAGTTCGATTTCCGCCTGCCCCGGAGGTGACCACATGGCGTGGCAGACCTCTCCTGACCCGCCCGCTGCTCCCCTCAGCAGTGTACTTCGTCGATCTGCCTGTTCTGCTCCCCATTCTATCTCTGTGAAGCCTCTCACCGCCCCTGAGCCTCTGGCCTGTACCCCAGTTCTGTATGCACAAATAAATAAATCTTAAAAAAAAAATAAACATATGGCTTCGCTTACAGGAGAAACAGGGAAAACATACAAAGTATCAGGGACAAAAAAAGACAAAACTAGTAGTCAAATCATAAATTGGAGACATTCATCAGGGGAGGTAGAGGGAAAGGGGTCAAACTAGGAGAGGAAGAGCACAAGAGTCTATAGTGATGGTTTGTGGTAACTTAGTGGTGATAACTGTATGGGGACAACACCTGAGAGGAGGTATCAAACATTGTACAAAAATGAACAATAATGTAAAAATAAACAAATAAGCTTACTTTTTCTGAAAGCTTCTGTTCTGATTAATATTTCAATAAAGTACAGATTAGGTCACTCCAATGTAAATACTACTGGAGTTGAGCTACAAAGCACTGTCCTTATATTTCTAAATTAGCAGTTTGCAGTTTTTAGATTGCAGAGATTAAACTTTTAAAATGGTGAGTTTTATACAGACGCCAACTTTTCATTTGCCAAGAAAGAAATTTAAACCTTGTTATTTACTTTCACCATTTAACAAAACAAGTAATATTTCAGCATACCATCTACAAACTAAAAAAGGGTACTTCTTGAAATTTAATAAAAGCATCTTTCTGGGAAAACTGTAAAATGAACCTAATACATTGTCCTTTGCAAAGGACAAGGAAAACCTTTCTCAAACCACCCGTGTGAAATTATTTTGCAATGAATCAGAGAGATACAGAAAGAAAAAGAATAAAATACGTAGCATGAGGTACTTGTTTAGAAATAGAAAAACAATTCAGTTGAAGTCACAAGGACATTTTTTATCACCATGTGGGTGGTATAATAATAGCCAAGAAAAACACAACTACTGATTTAGTTACTCTAAAAGTTAGTTGAAATCATCTCATTTCAGTTCAAAGCAGTCTTAAATTTCCTATAACCTATTAAAACTTGGTTGTTAATTGCCGTAAACGACATTAACTTTTTTCTCTTTAAAGTCTAGACTTCTAAGAATATGTCTACTGCACAGAAGTCAAACATGTAAATCTACCTAATTTGTACACAAGATCTAAATTGTCATGTAGAAGAAAGGGATATGATCTATACAAGAGAATTTGGATATAATTTTTTATCAACCCATAAAGCATATATGGTCACACACCCCACCCCTATCTGAGTGTGATACATTCCAAGACACCCAGTGGATGCATGCAATTGCAGATAGTAGTGAACCCTATATATGCCATGTTTTTTCTTGTGCATAAACATGATGTTAAATTTATAAATTAGGCACAGTAAAAGATTAACAACAAAAATAAAACAGAACTATCAAGACACAGTAATTGTATATTATAGTTAGTTGTGTGAATGTGGCTTTTCTCTCTCAAAATATCTTATAACATGGACTATGGCTGACCATTGGTAACTAAAACCACAGAAAGCTAAAGTGCAGTTAAGGAGTAACTATTGTAACAAATTATGAAAAATTAAAGGTGATCCACAAACTAACAAATTATCCAATTTATCAACACCTACCAGTTAAGACCACAAAATCATAAAATAATCAATTTTAGAAGTTGAAAAAACACAAAAATTTAGAGAATGGTCATTTTTCTCCAC